AGCCCCCCCCCCAGTCACCCTCCTGGGAGGAAGGAGACGAGAGGAAAGGGCCTGCTGGCTGGCCGGGCAAGGCTGGCGTCCCAAAGAGGCTGGGCCTTGCCAGCCGGCCCATATTCCCCCCAGAGAGGAGCACCCACTCATAGTCTTGGGTCTAAGACCCCCACGGGGCCAGAAGGACTGGAGAAGGAAGACCGGGCTGGAGAAGGGGGAACAACGCCCAAGAAAGAGCCTTCTGCATGAGAAAGCAGGGAATTCGAACGCAAGTCCCCACCTGCTCCTCACGTTGGGATGAGCTGAGATGCCATGTTCTCCGAAACAGCAGCCCTGTGAGGGAGGAAAACCTGACAGGAGGACAGAAAGAGGAAGAGACCAGGAGAGGCTCGCTTTTGGGAAGCTCACAAGAGACTGGAATTCAGGCCTCTCTCCCAGAACTGTGCCGAAATACGAGCCTCTGCCTCGTTCCATCCTTTCAACAACCACCCTGTGAGGTAGGACAGGTGGGGGAGAAAAGAGACCAGGAAATCCTCCTCCTCTGCACACATGCCCCAGCACCCCCCCCCATCATCATCTCCAAATTCTCAACAAGAGCTGCAGAGACCTGGGGATGCTCTGGTGGCATTTCGCTGCTCTCCCCCCCCAACCATTCTGCTCCTCCCGAAACGTCCTCGGAAGGCCACTTTTGGGAAGGACCGAGCGAAGGAGCCTCGACTGGGGTGCAGTCGCTCTGCAAGGGCTGAAATCCCAGTCAAAAAGTCCCCCAAAGGAGGAAGAGGAGGAGGAGGAGGAGCGCGGGGGGGGAGGGGGTCAGGCCGGGCTATCTTTAGACAGAAGCCTCTTTCCTGATGGGCAAGAGGGTGGACATGTTCCAGCAGGGACTATTTTTGCCTTGGGCTGGAAGGGGAGGGGAAACGTTCTCAGAAAGGCCCGCAGGGAGGAACTATGGCCTCTCTCTCTCTCTCTCTCTCTCTCTGTATCTCAGGGAACACTGAGGACTAGACCCTTGCACAGCAAACAGAACCCCCCAGCCCTTAGAGGGCAAAGGGGCAGAATTGGCAGAGGCCTTGCCTTTCTTTTTTCCTCTCTCAGAAGCTCCCAGAGAACAGGTTCCCCCGTAGTCCACAAAAGTAACTTCACCAAACTCAGCACAGGAGAACACAGCATCCAAAAACCACCCCCCCGCTGCCCCTTCAGCCAGCCCACCCCCCTTGGCAGACATGGGGGACCCATCCAGTAGGCTCTCCTGCCCCTGCTCTTGGGGGGGGGTGCGCCCTCCCAACCCTTCCCTTCCTGGCCACGTAGGT